AACAGACAAGTCACTCCGACCCCCATGTTCACTCGTTAGTCCATTTTGCCCCTTCCGTATGGGCCCTATTCGACTTAGTCGATATCTGCGAGTCCCAGATTTGGAGCATAGAGCATACCCCCTGTACAGGGGGTATGCCATTAGGTCCACGACATTTTACTCCACGTAATACTCCAAGGTCCGGAATTCGATAAGATTCGGTCACGATGTACTCCGTCTGTACGGTATACATCTACAATTCGATAAGATTCGGTCACGATGTACTTCGCTAAAAAGGCGCAAAAAACATTGTGACCAATCACGATAGTCGCATAATGCCACCGACCATCGAGTCGCGCCACCCGAATTGGGTGCGATCCCAGCATGCGAGTGTCGCCAACCAACCTGCGATAGCAAGCTCGGAAATTTCTCGTGAACTGTGCTTGGAATTGTCCGGCCAATACGCGCTTGTCAGGGCGATCAGACGTAATCACGACGGACCGGGGGGCGACAGCCAGCTGGTACCCCCGTCCACCTAGCACTTTTGTATGCGCGCTGACCTGGGCATGAACCCGCACCCCCTTTCCATCCATTATGTCTTATTATTTCGGTCCTATTCTAATCCTCGTGTCAAGAACACGCGAGGCGTTTTCCATATTTTATAACCAATGACATAAATATTCAGGCTTTCTGCGTGACAGGAACAGGTCTGTCCCGAAATGAAAACACGACCCACGGTCCCTCAATCACCATTAACCGACGCACATTTCGGAAATGTTTTTCTTAAATGGTTTTTTTTCACCTTCGTGAAAGTGTGTGATTGGCTATCGAAACCGTTCAGGTGAGTCGTCATAATTTCGTTACGTTAAGCCCTTTTCGTGAGACCACGAAAAGGGTTTTTTCAAATTATATGATTTGCGCGTTTTGAGCCTGCGCTGCTTGCGGAAGGTCGAGAACGAGGTGTTACTTCTATTGTCCGCAGTAATTCTGACCAGACAACAAATTTGCTGAACGTTTTTTAAGAAGCCACATGACACCTCACATGACACGCGGCGAAGTCGCTGGTAACCTGGCCCAAGGGCCAATATGCCAAGGCACCCATCGTGAACAGAATTAGTAAAACGGCCTACGCCACCCCACCTAAAACCGTACGTGCTACTCGATAATCCATTTTGCCCGTAGTGAACCGCTCTTATTCGTCATAGTCCATATTTGCGAGTCGCGGATTTGGAGCATAGAGCATACCCCCTGTAACGACAAGGTACAGTGAACTGAGGAATGGCGGAGGACAGGTGTAGAGTGCCGAACGGAGCCATTTATGTTGCGTGTTGATTGTACACCTCTTGGGAGTTTGAAGAACCAGAATCTACCACGCGGCGTGCTCCCGTTACGCGAAAGGTCAAAACCTGGGGCAAAAGTGACACTTATCGAGAAAAACGGTTATAAATCGTAACGAAGGATTGTTCGCAAGTTTGGGTGACAGAACTCGTAGCGAGTCTACGCGGGTGAAGCCTTTTCGACAACCTACTTGCGAAGTGAAACGTAGCTAACTACACAAATGGAAACAAGAACTGCCGCAGCTTTGGTCTGATTGCAATCGTTAAATCGTTAAATTCGCAAAATCAAAAACAAGATCCGATACAGATTCTCTCGCATCGCGCTTCATGAGTTCTCCTAAGCGGAACCACTTTCGCAGAGAATGTTAACAAGTTCTATTGTATTTTCCTGAAATTCGTAGTAATCCTGAAACCCTCGCCATTCAAAGCAGGAAAAAGTGTAACCTTGTTGCTCGAGTCAGTCACCCGATGTTTTTGGGTGGCTGGGATTGGAAGAATGGGATTGAGTCAGTCACGTCTCGGTTCACTCACTGGGACTTGCCGCATCCCTTGTGTTTCTACTGTAGCTTGGGCAACCGCAACCCCGTTTCTAGAACATGGTCCGCACTGTTCCCAGAGAAGACAACAGCAATGGAAATTACCAGCCATGACTGCATGTCATTTTTCGTCCCGCCGGGTATTTCGGAAAGTGCAAATTCTGTAAGTACAAATTCAGCCCCCGGATATTTTGGAATATACAAATTCAGCCCCCCGTCGCAATCCGCATATGCCAAAGCGGTAACATTCCAACATACTTACAATCCCATTCTTTCCGTGACGAGGTGTGTGAAGTGCAGGGGACGCTTTCAGTCCCAGCCGCCCAAAAGAATGGGGTGACTGACTCGGACAACAAGGGTACCGCGGTGTCCCCTCTTCGTTTTGAGGGGCGTCGGGGCTGGCGTGGCGAGGCGAGATGAACCGGGCCCATGACACTGCCATGCCAGCATGGAACGGCTTCAGGCCAGCAATTTTTCGGGTTACAGTACGAGACAGTGTCTTCGCGACTGCTTGTCGTTGAGAATTGGGCGACACGGAGTTTGGAGCAAACGGATGCTCCAACGCCCAGAAAGGAGCAACCCCGTAGATTGGCTAGCTATGTGCCCACCACTAGCGTATCGTCTGCGCGTATCGTCTGCAACCTTGTACATTCGGATTGGCTGGCAGGTTCCTCAAAGCGAGGAGGACCACGTTGACGAATAATACTCATCAGGACGAGGCACATTGCAACCAATAATACTCGTGTTTTTAGTTGTTCGGTTACTGTTACTAGCTATCCGCGCACAGTTGTCACATTTAGCGCACTGAGAGGAGGGTTTTATCGCTTTTTGAGCAGCGAGGGAAGGTTTAGCGTTCATTTCATTCTTCTCTCATTGGATCACGTTTCACAATTTCATGGGTTACATAATGTACCCCAGCATTTCGCTGTTCTCAGCCACTTTTCCCCGAAAACCTCCGTCAACTACAAAGCAAGTCGCTGAACAAACCTGGAAATAGAACGAGACTTGGGTGCCATCACTTTCTTATGGCAAAATTAACAGCAAACTTATTTTCCATACGGATAAAACATGAAGACAATACTCAATATGGGATTGCGGATTAGTGAGACGTGACTATTTCACTTACATTAAATTTCGATATTATATAGTGATATTTTGGGTACAATCATCTTTACAACTTATTATTTTGTTAACATACAAGTACATGAACTTCATCAATGCTATATATCGTCGGAGATTTTTTTCAAAACATGGACAAATGTTTTCAAAATGACTTCGTATAGTACATTATTTACAAAAGAACAGTATGATACTGTATGTCCAAGCCAACATTAATATGCGAACTCCTGTTGAAAATATTCGGCCAATTTTTTTAACATTTCTTCACTTATCTATATTATTGATGAAGGTCATAGAATTGTATGGTAAAAATGATGAGTTGAAAATATAATTGTACCAAAAATATTATTACACGATATCGAGATTCAATGTAAGTGAGCAATCCCGTCACTCTAATATGCAATCCCAGATTGAATATTGTTGTCATGTTTTATCTGTTTGGAAAATAATTTGCTATTAATTTTGTCGTCAGAAAGTGACGGCACCCGAGGCTCGTTCATTCCAGGTTCGTTCAGCGACGTGCTCTATAGTTGACGGAGGTTTTCGGAGAACATTCGCTGAGAGCGGCGAAATGCCGGAGTACAGTATGCAACCAATGAAATTGTGAAACGTGATTCAATGAGAGAAAAGTTAACCTGAATGAACGCTAAATCTCCCCTCGCGTCTCAGAAAGCGACAAAACCCTCCTCTCGGTGCGCTAAACGTGATTACTGTGCGTGGATCGCTAGTACAACTAAAAAACCATAATACTCATCGTAAACGATCCGAAGCCAAGACTCATAATGCCCTGAACCAGGCCTATTTTTCAAGGGTTGTTTTCCTTAATTTGTGGGGCCAGTCATAATGAATTTGAGTCGAATAAATGGCATTTTTCAACACAGCCCGGGACATTAAGAGTTTGATTTTCCAGAACCCTAGACATTAAGGGTAGTGCCTAGCCAAGCCCTTCATATTTTGAGTGATGGCTCGACTACCCGAATGCACATGCACTGAAGTAGCAAGGATGTGGAACTTAACATTCACCAGCCCATCCCATTTCCCACCTAGCGAAATCGCTAACTCCTCCAGCCAGTCTAGTGTGAGTATCCAGCTGGCTTTCATACGTCTAAGGGTGGGGCTCATCCGAACCCTGGAAACTAAGGGCTTAGCTCCGATGAGCCCAAATTTGTAGGGGTGGCCTAAAAACAAAAGTTAGCACTGTTTCCCACATATGTGCGGTGGACCGATGATGATTATGCTTTGAAGTCAAGTCAGCAAACTGACAATTGGGTGCGCGAAGTGACGACCAACACTTGCTGCTCCGTTTTGGGTTGGCCTCGGCATTGAAACGACGATATTCAATACATCAGGGCGCTTGCATACACGTGGTACACCCTAGTATTCTTAAGTCGTCGGTTTTGTTTCAGGGCGGCAGATATTGTTTGATCTGCGGAGTGACTGTAGCGCTATACAGTCACTTGCTCGAGAAACCCTCGTTCGACGGGACTCGGCCTCCCTGCGACATTACAAACCTGGCCCAAACTTGGGGTGGGAACCGAAAATGCGACTCTAATATGTGCTATTTAATCGAATACTTAGGTGTATAATTACAGAACCTGCACCAGGTTTCTGTACAGACCGTAGTTGCTTCAGAACAAGTGAGAAAACTACACACGAACGGCCTGAGGATATGTTTAAAGTGGGATGTCGAGTTTTCTCGACGGATGTCATCGGATGTCGAAGAGGTAGGTGAGGGTTTGGAATAGGCAAACGCGTCCAAAATACCCCCGTCATCTAACCTAGACATCCCCGATGTCGCGGGATGTCGAACCTTGACCAACAGTGCGAACGGGCAGGGGTTTGGGTGAGAATGGCCTGAGAATGTCTCTCTTTTCCGTCGTGTGCCCCTAAACAGCACCCAATATGAGCTGGCCACGGCACCCAATAGCTGTCCTCCACACTCTTTGCAGAATCTTGACGGAAATTGATATCGTTTCTTAGTATGGCCGAAAGGACGTTTTCACGTGCCGTCCATCATATTTTGGTACGACAGCGGCAGACTCTGGGTCACGCGGGGACGAGAATTCCTATGCTGTTAGCAGATTTTCAAGGAGCACGATGCGCCTGACCTGGCATTCGTTCCCTCGCTCGCCTCCACTGTCGCCACTTGGCCCTCACGATGCTTCGTCCTAGTAGCAGAGTGTCTCCCACTTTCCGTTCAACCGTTCCCGAGCCCGCGTCAAGCCTTGAGCACTGCCTGTGCAGGCAGTGCTGGCTGTGCATTCAGTGCGGGCTGGGCCCTTCAAGGGCAGAGATGGTAGCGGCGACCGCACTGGTCAAAACGTCATCCGAGTGCGACCGCACTTGAAGTGGCTATCGATGCAAGATCCGCGTCTGCTTTCAGCAGCATTTTTCATCCCGAGGTGGCGGTTTTTCTTGCGTCCCGTGCTAGGGTATTCACCTAACAAACTCGTACTGCCAGTCGAGCCGCCATGCCGCATTCCTCAGATGCGATCGGCTCGCCGTCCCGATCCCAATCCTCGTCGCTCGCCGTTAAGCCGTGGTCCGCCGAGGTGAGTCCCCCGCACCAGTCCCGTGCTCACCAAATTTCGGTTCGGAACCCGCATCTGCGTGGAGCTGTCCCGTGGAACCCGCATCAGCGTGGAGAAGTTCTCGCGAGCAGCTGAGCTGTTCTGTCAGATCCGCCGGAATTTTTGCCGGAAGTGGGATTGCTCCACTCTTTTGTTGCCCTCCGCCTGGAAAGAGCTGCTCATGCGCCTCGAGACGCGTTGAAAGCGCTTCAAAGTCGCGTTGAATGCGCCTCGAGACGCGAATTGCGTCGAACACGGGCTCCCTGTGTCTCAAGATACGCTCGTTGGCCGTGTGCCCTCACATGCAATGTTCATGGCCGGCGGAGGACTAAGCGTCCATTCTGTTGCGCCATGCTCGGGGCTCGTCCATGGTTCATCGCAAAGTCACTTGTCTCCGAGACACGGAGTCCGTGGTCTCAAACGTCATCTCACCATTGCTTGCTTCCACTCTACGCAACATTTTTCCTCATCATTGCGTCGCGTGCTAAACATGATCGCTCACGGCAGGAGGACGCGGTTCTGCTGCGTCATGCGCTGCACTGTGGCACGAGGCAGTGGGGCATGTTGGGGAGGAGAGGTCAGCTGAAGAGGAACAACAAGTCGTGCTGTAACCGTTACATCTTCCTCAGAAGGTTCGTTTCTATCACATCAGGGTTTCGGCAGGGCTGAGCTTTTTCTGAGCGCCTGTTCTGTGTCGGTGAGGAGTCTACATGTGAGGCGCCTCAAAACAGACGCATGTTCTGTGTCGGTGAGGAGTCTACATGTGAGGCGCCTCAAACCAGACGCATGTTCTGTGTCGGTGAGGAGTCTACATGTGAGGCGCCTCAAAATAGACGCATGTTCTGTGTCGGTGAGGAGTCTACATGTGAGGCGCCTCAAAATAGACGCATGTTCTGTGTCCGTGTCTCTCTCTGCTTGGTGGCAGGAAATTCGTTCAACGCTTTCAGGAAATTCTTCTGAGAGAGCACTTGGGAGGCAGTGCATTCTCCCGGCGCATAGCCTTGGAGGCGCACAGCCAGTTGCTGCTGAGGCGTGACGGTCAGCAGCAGCAATACTGGCAGCAGCAGCAGCAGCAGCAGCAGCAGCACCCGGAGCAGCAGGCTGGCGTGGGTTCACTCGGGTCACCACCGTCGCCTGGTCTTACTTTCGGTGGGCTGTCTTTTGACCAGTGCAGGCGCGTCTTCCTCTCGCCTAATGCTCACCGCCCTACAGCCCAGGCGAGCCTCGCGACTGCCTTCTGCACTGCTGCTGCCTCTTCTGATGGCGCTGCTCTCTCCACTGCTGCTGCTGCTGCTTCTTCTGCTGCTGTCTTCAGTGTTGCCTCTTTCCCCGATCCCGCTCTTGTCTCCAGTGCTGGGTCATTCAATGCCGCTTTTCCCAATGCTTCCGCTGCCTGCAAGCTGCCCATGAAGCGAGCGAGGGAGGACTACGGCGGGCTTCTGGCGGACCCATCCCTGTCGGGTCTGGCTGGGAGTGGGTGGGCCAGCCGCACGCTGCACCACTCGCAGTCCTTGGAAGATCTTTTCCTGCAGCAGGGAGGAGAGAGAAGCGAAGTGCAGGCAGCGCTGTGGGCTCGCGTGGTGTCAGAGAGCGCCCTTCCTGACGATGTGCTGTTGGGTTTTAGCAGCGAGGACCCTGGCGTCAGCGTGCCGTTTGCAGCACTGCCAGCGCCACTGCCAGCCCCTTTCTCCGCCCAGCCACCACAGGCAGCAGCACTGCCAGCGCCACTGCCAGCCCCTTTCTCCGCCCAGCCACCTCAGGCAGCAGCGCTGCCAGCGCCACTGCCAGCCCCTTTCTCCGCCCAGCCACCTCAGGCAGCAGCACTGCCAGCGCCACTGCCAGCCCCTTTCTCCGCCCAGCCACCTCAGGCAGCAGCACTGCCAGCGCCACTGCCAGCCCCTTTCTCCGTCCAGCCACCTCAGGCAGCAGCACTGCCAAAGCCACTGCCCACCCAACTCGCAGCTCCGACTGGTTCTGTTCCCAGGGGGATTTGCAGCTGCTTGGGAGGGACGCCCTCCTTTGAGAATGGTTGTGCGGGGCAGGAGATGCCGGCCTTCATGGGCGCATGCACCACAGTGCCGAAAATCGACCCTCAGTTTCTCAATACGCATGTGGCTAACCTGTGCATGCCTGCGCCTGCCTCCTACCTGCCCACTGAGGCCACTGAGGCCAGTGAGGCCAGTGAGCCTCAGGGACGGCCGCTGGCAGGCTGCCTTCTTGAGCCAGCGCTGCCAGAGCGGGCGCTGGAGCAGGGAGGGATGAGGGAATGGGGCCAGAAAGGTGGTCAAGCACGCAGGCATCAGCACCCAGTGGGGCAAGGAAGAGTCAGTCTTCCACAGAGGCGCCACCAGCAGCAACTGAATGACCATCAGCGTCTGGAGCTCCAGGGGATTCCCTCACTGCTAGAGCCTTATCCACAAACACTGCCAGAGCCGCTACATCTGGAACAGGCGTTGGCACTGGCACCATCACAGGCATGGGAACAGGCATCGGCACTGGCACCGTCACAGGCATTGGAGCAGGCATTGGCACTGGCCCCGTCACAGGCATTGGAACAGGCATTGGCACTGGCACCGTCACAGGCATTGGAACAGGCGTTGGCACTGGCACCGTCACAGGCATTGGAACAGGCATTGTCACTGGCACCGTCACAGGCATGGGAACAGGCATCGGCACTGGCACCGTCAGAGGCATTGGAACAGGCATTGGCACTGGCACCGTCAGAGGCATTGGAACAGGCATTGGCACTACCATCATCACAGGCATTGGAACAGGCGCTGGCTCTGGCACCGTCACAGGCTTTGGAACAGGCTTTTGCACTACCATCATCACAGGCATTGGAACAGGCGTTGGCACTACCATCATCACAGGCATTGGAACAGGCATTGGCACTACCATCATCACAGGCATTGGAACAGGCGTTGGCTCTGGCACCGTCACAGGCTTTGGAACAGGCTTTTGCACTAGCACCGTCACTGGCTCTTGGAGCAACCAATTCTAACCCCCTAGGATCACTCTACATGCCCTCTACCCCTAGCGGCTCACACATGCATGCTTCCAGATGACCAGGCCCTGCTTTGCTGCAAGGCCCTCGATCTTTTCACCATCTCGCATGCCTGCTGCCCCGGCGCACTTAAAGCCACGCCCTGCCTTGCCGTGGGAACCCCTATCCCTTCATCAGCTCTCATGAACCCAGCACCTGTTCCTCGACCCAGTGCGGCTAATGCTCTGGGACGTGATGGGGCTTCTTTGTATGCCACATTAGCTCCTGGCATCGACCCGAATATGCTCGCCTCAACTTATTTATTTGACCTTGGAGGAACAACTGACTTCACTCCGGTCCAGAGTGCGGTCGCTGGGATGGGAGCATGATTGTCCACAGCGAAACTTTGCATGCACCCATCAGCTTTCCACATACAGGCATGTGCCTTTTGTGATGGCACAGTGGCACCATCCGCACATACGTATCATCCGGTTTTTTTAGGGTGACCAAACGCCTGATGTTGCTGTTAAAGCCTGAGTCTAAAATAGCATAGGGGGGGTTCAAGAAAGCCCCTCTTGATGTAGGACACTCCTGTTAATTTTTTAAAAACAGCAGCAAGAACTATTTATGAGCAGCAGGACATGGTGAAACGCTCGAAAACGCATGCCAAGGCACGAAGCAGTCATAGGTATGCCAATGAAAGGCACACCAAGGCTATTGAATCGCTCTGGCTGGATGCATGTTGTCCCTTTTTGATCTTACTATGGCTTTTTGTAACACACGGTGCTATGGCGCTATTCTTTTTGTAGCTTGTAGCTTCAAAACTCATGTTGCGTTTCAACAAATCAGCAGCACAGTACCGCTTTGTACCGCACAAGGATCTGGGCTGGTCGGGGGCCGAAAAATCAACTGCGCCAAATAAAGTTGCATGAAGTCAAAACTGCTAGACTGTTCCCCTCTCGCAACTGTCGTCGCACAATTCGAAGCTGCAGGTTACATATTTCTGCGAAGAGAATTGAATCTCGTGAATGGCCATGCAGAGATTCGAAGATTCCAGTCGAGACCGCCTTCATGAAAATACTCTGCAGAATGCAGGTTAGCGGAAGTATAACGCGTTAGTGTTGTAACGAGTTTCATTGGCGACACAAACGCTCCAGACTGCTTGAGTTACTCGCCTTATCTTTGCGCACTCTCAGGCGTCAGCGAAGTCTTGGTGCCTTTTAGAAGTCTTGTCGTCAATCTGCGCTTGTTGACAAGATGGTGGCGATCGAGGAAATTGAGGACACAAATTGCGAGGAGACTAGCTCCGCGCCCGTAATCGGTTCCAACGGCACGAGCGCCGCTCGTGGGAATGCCGGACCCGTCGGATCACGATCGGAAAGTGCTGGTGGAGCGAAGATTGGCGGAGAACCGTCGGATCTAGCTAGCGATGGACGACGATCCTCGGCTGCAGATTTTGAGGCGACTCAAAACGGCGCTGCTGGGAGCGGGTCTGGGCTGGGAGGGGAGAAGGAGCGGGGAGGGGAGAAGGAGCGCGGAGGGGAGAAGGAGCGCGGAGGGGAGACCGAGAGGGGAGAGACTGCGGAACAGGGTGGATTCAAAGACGCCCTTAGCGACACGGCGGAGGGGACTGGCGGAGAAGGGGAAGTCGCGAGAGGGGAGGGGGAAGTGAGGGGGGGTGAAGAGGGGGAAGAGGTGTTTGAAGATGCGCTGACAGAGGAAGAGCTCCGCAAGGTGAGGGGAAGGGTAGGGGGAAAGGGGAGGGGTAAGTGGAGGAAGAGGAACAGGGAAAGGGTGAAACGGGTAACATGGAAAGCGAAAGAGCTGTTTGCGGATTCGCAGACAGAAAAAAAAAAAAATTTGCGAATTGGGTTCTTGTTGCGGTTTGGATTGTGTTTTGCTATGTCTTGAGACATCTCAGTGGCTTTAACAAGTTGTTCAATCTTAGTTTGCACTCTCTGTTTCTCATCTCATCTCTCTGTTTCTCATCTCATCTCTCTGTTTCTCGTCTCTCTGTTTCTCATCTCATCTCTCTGTTTCTCGTCTCTCTGTTTCTCATCTCGTCTCTCTGTTTCTCATCTCACCTCTCTGTTTTGGACCGATCAGAAAGCCCTTTTGGAAGCAGAGGTCATCAAGGCACGGGGGAACGAGGAGTACAAGCGGGGTGACTATAACGCAGCTCTGGAGAGCTACAGTAACGCGCTGGCAGCAGCGCCAGGGGTCGAGCACGAGGAGGCAAAGGAGGCTCGAGCGATCTATCATGCCAACAGAGCCATGTGCCACCTGCAGCTGGTGAGAGAGACACCTGCAACTGGTGATTACTGGAATCTTCAGCTGGTGGGTTGTTCCTTAGGCGCATCAGGAAAGTCGGCAGCAGCGCCTGGGGCGGAGCACGAGGAGGCGAAGGAGGCCCGATCAATCTACCATGCGAACAGAGCCATGTGCCACCTGCAGCTGGTGAGAGTGGGAGTGCTGCAGCTGGTGAGAGCGAGTGTTGCAGGTGGTGAGAGAGAGAGTTGTAGTTGTTGTTTTAGGCGTCTGAGAAAAACTTGCAGCATCTCTTTTTTAGAATCAAAAGCTCGCAGCGTCGCCGGGGCGTAGCAGACGGATCAGAGTGCAGCGCAAGTCGCACAAGCTGTTGTCGTGACATCTCCAGGAGTCGTGTTCGTCGCGGGATTTTTTACATTTGAGTCGATCCGAAGCGACGTAAGGTTGACAATGCACTTAGTGGTGCCAGGGAACGGCGAGGCTGGTCTGCTGGCATGTCATTGTGGAATCTTAGCCTCGCTGTGCTTTGCCGCGGTTAAGCGCATGCCCCGCCTCATTTCGCTTTGGATTGACTTCAACGCAACAAATCGATACTGTCAAACGCGTGGCGACGTTATGATTCTGATGGTGGCATTCGCATGCTTCCGGCTTGTGGGTCTTGTGATGCACCCCGCCCGACCTTTTTCAAGATCAGTGCGCTGTAGGAACATCGATTGTGACGCACTCAAACCGGAAAATTTTAGCTCGTTACTCAACCTCACACGTGCGTCCTGCGACAAGTACGTTCCGCATCAACCTCATTCGCATTGCTGTTCTCCACCCACCCATGCCATGCAGAAGAACTACGACGCGTGTGCAGGAGAGCACCAAAGCCATGGATATGAAGTGAGATGTGAAGCCACTTTTTCTACACTCTCTGTTCCACTCCGTTGCTGTCTGCAGAAGGATTACGACGCATGTGTGAAGGAGAGCACATCAGCCATGGATCTGAAGCCGGACTATCTCAAGGCGATCATGCGGCGGGCCCAGGCGTGGGAGAAGCTGGACAAGCTCGAAGAAGCACTGGGAGGTGAGTTGGTTCTTTATCGATACCCGTTTCACTATACTAAGTTCTTAAAAGTTCGTCTGCGCAAATAGATCTGGTGCCTCTTTCTGCCGTCCATATTACCCAGATTTGAGGCTAGGGTTGGACAGCGTGCTTCAGTTGGACAGCGCCAATGCTCAAGCCGGATCTGCTGCTAGGCGACTGGGGCTTGGTTTTGGGTCTTCGCATGGTTTGTCATGCTTGCCTGCCTCCTCTTTCGTTTGCCATCCCAGATTTGAAGAAGGTGCTTGGGCTGGACAGCACTAATGCTCAAGCTAGATCTGCTGCTAGGGGACTGGAGCTTGGTTTTGAGTCTTCTCATATGCATTGCCTGTCCCCTCTATCCTTTGCCATCACAGATTTGAAGAAGGTGCTTGAGTTGGACAGCACCAATGCTCAAGCCAGATCTGCTGCTAGACGACTGGAGCCTATTGTGGAGGAAAGGAGGGAAAAGCTCAAAGAGGAGATGCTAGGTATGCCTTTTCCTTTGTTGCTGTATTTGGTTTGGTCCTACAAAAAAAAGTACATTGCTTGTTTATTGTGTCTACGGCAGATTTCCATGTTCTAATGTCGTTGTGTGGGCTGTGTGATGTAGGCAAGTTGAAGGACCTTGGGAACTCCGTTCTGGGGCACTTTGGAATGAGCATTGACAATTTCAAGGCGGTGAAGGATCCAAACACTGGCTCCTACTCCATTTCGTACCAGAGCTAGAACGTCTTCAATAGTGTAGCTATTACCATATATTATATCCTTTCAAACAAAAGCCACTGTACCCGATAATGGATGGGAGGGAATACGTGACGTGTAATTGATTCCAACATCAATTTGCTGAGCTTTATCCGATTATCGTCGGTTCATGCCAGATTCCCGCATCGTTTTATCTTATAACAAAACCCATCTTCCCTGAACCCCGGGTATGCTCCGCCTGTCAAATAATTACTTCCTCATCAGGGCGCCGTTCTATCGCTGGATTTGACCTAACACTGCGGCAAGGCCGGCAGCGTAAGTCTTCGGCCTGTCAGTCAGCCGTTCGGTAGCGCCTGCAACCTGTCTGCCGTCCTGCCCTTCGGCTGCACGCATCCTTTGATTCGTCGTCGCCAGCACCAACGTCGCCAGCCTGTCGTCGCCAGCACCAACGTCGCCAGCATTATGGTGTCCCTGGAAGCCGCTCACGCGATGCAGGAGGCCTTGCTGAAGAAATTCGCTGTGAGCATTGTCGCCAGCGTGTTGTCGCCAGCATATCGTCGCCAGCATATTGTCGCCAGCATATTGTCGCCAGAGTATTGTCGCCAGTGTATTGTTGCCAGCATATCGTCGCCAGCATATCGTCGCCAGCATATTGTCGCCAGCATATTGGCGCCAGCATTGTCGCCACGTCGCCAGCATTAGGTGTCCCTAGAAGCTGCGCTTTCCATGCAGGACGCTATCCTGGAAACGATTCACTGTAGCATTGTCGCCAGCATTGTCGCCAGCATCGTCGCCAGAATTTTCGCTAGCGTTGTCGCCAGCATCATGGTGTCGCTAGAGGCGCTCATGCGATGCAGGAAGGTCTGCTAAAACGGTTTACGGTTTGCACTCTCTGTTTCTCATCTCATCTCTCTGTTTCTCGTCTCATCTCTCTGTTTCTCGTCTCGTCTCTCTGTTTCTCGTCTCGTCTCTCTGTTTCTCGTCTCGTCTCTCTGTTTCTCGTCTCTGTTTCTCATCTCGTCTCTCTGTTTCTCATCTCACCTCTCTGTTTTGGACCGATCAGAAAGCCCTTTTGGAAGCAGAGGTCATCAAGGCACGGGGGAACGAGGAGTACAAGCGGGGTGACTATAACGCAGCTCTGGATAGCTACAGTAACGCGCTGGCAGCAGCGCCAGGGGTCGAGCACGAGGAGGCAAAGGAGGCTCGAGCGATCTATCATGCCAACAGAGCCATGTGCCACCTGCAGCTGGTGAGAGAGACACCTGCAACTGGTGATTACTGGAATCTTCAGCTGGTGGGTTGTTTCTTAGGCGCATCAGGAAAGTCGGCAGCAGCGCCTGGGGCGGAGCACGAGGAGGCGAAGGAGGCCCGATCAATCTACCATGCGAACAGAGCCATGTGCCACCTGCAGCTGGTGAGAGTGAGAGTGGGGCAGCTGGTGAGAGCGAGTGTTGCAGGTGGTGAGAGAGAGAGAGAGAGTTGTAGTTGTTGTTTTAGGCGTCTGAGAAAAACTTGCAGCAGCGCCTTTTTTAGAATCAAAAGCTCGCAGCGCATGTCATTGTGGAATCTTAGCCTCGCTGTGCTTTGCCGCCGTTAAGTGCATGCCAAGCCTCATTTCGCTTTGGATTGACTTTAACGCAACAAATCGATAAAGTCAAACGCGTGGCGACGTTATGATTCTGATGGTGGCATTCGCATGCTTCCGCCTTGTAGGTCTTGTGGTGCACCCCGCCCGACCTTTTTCAAGATCAGTGTGCTGTGGGAACATCGATTGTGACGCACTCAAACTGTGAAGATTTAGCTCGTTACTCAACCTCGCACGCACGACCTGCGACAAGTACGTTCCGCATCAACCTCATTCGCATCGCTGTTCTCCACCCACCCATGCCATGCAGAAGAACTACGAAAGCCAAAGCCATGGATATGAAGTGAGATGTGAAGCCACTTTTTCTACACTCTCTGTTCCACTCCGTTGCTGTCTGCAGAAGGATTACGGCGCATGTGTGAAGGAGAGCACAGCAGCCATGGATCTGAAGCCGGACTATCTCAAGGCGATCATGCGGCGGGCCCAGGCGTGGGAGAAGCTGGACAAGCTGGAAGAAGCACTGGGAGGTGTGTTGGTTCTTTATCGACACCCGTTCGACTATACTAAGTTCTTATAAGTTCGTCTGCGCAAATAGAACTGGTACCTCTTTCTGCCGTCCATATTACCCAGATTTGAGGCTTAGGGTTGGACAGCGTGCTTCAGTTGGACAGCGCCAATGCTCAAGCCGGATCTGCTGCTAGGCGACTGGAGCTTGGTTTTGAGTCTTCGCATGGTTTGTCATGCTTGCCTGCCTCCTCTTTCGTTCGCCATCCCAGATTTGAAGAAGGTGCTTGGGCTGGACAGCACTAACGTTCAAGCCAGATATGCTGCTAGGGGACTAGGGCTTGGTTTTGAGTCTTCTCATAGTTGGTCATGCATTGTCTGTCCCCTCTGTCCTTTGCCATCCCAGATTTGAAGAAGGTGCTTGAGCTGGACAGCACCAATGCTCAAGCCAGATCTGCTGCTAGGGGACTAGAGCTTGGTTTTGAGTCTTCTCATAGTTGGTCATGCATTGCTTGTCCCCTCTGTCCTTTGCCATCCCAGATTTGAAGAAGGTGCTTGAGCTGGACAGCACCAATGCTCAAGCCAGATCTGCTGCTAGGGGACTAGAGCTTGGTTTTGAGTCTTCTCATAGTTGGTCATGCATTGCCTGTCCCCTCTGTCCTTTGCCATCCCAGATTTGAAGAAGGTGCTTGAGCTGGACAGCACCAATGCTCAAGCCAGATCTGCTGCTAGGGGACTAGAGCTTGGTTTTGAGTCTTCTCATAGTTGGTCATGCATTGCCTGTCCCCTCTGTCCTTTGCCATCCCAGATTCGAAGAAGGTGCTTGAGCTGGACAGCACCAATGCTCAAGCCAGATCTGCTGCTAGGGGACTAGAGCTTGGTTTTGAGTCTTCTCATAGTTGGTCATGCATTGCCTGTCCCCTCTGTCCTTTGCCATCCCAGATTTGAAGAAGGTGCTTGAGCTGGACAGCACCAATGCTCAAGCCAGATCTGGTGCTAGGCGACTGGAGCCCATCGTGGAGGAAAGGAGGGAAAAGCTTAAAGAGGAGATGCTAGGTATGCCTTTTCCTCTGTTGCTGTAGGGTCCTACAAAAAAACGTACATTGCTTGTTTATTGTGTCTACTGCAGGTTTCCATATTCTAATGTCGTTGTGTGGGTTGTGTGATGTAGGCAAGTTGAAGGACCTTGGGAACTCCGTTCTAGGGCACTTTGGAATGAGCATTGACAATTTCAAGGCGGTGAAGGATCCAAACACTGGCTCCTACTCCATTTCGTACCAGAGCTAGAACGTCTCCAATAGTGTAGCTATTACCATAGACTATATCCTTTCAAGCAAAAGCCGGTGTACCCGATAACGGATAGGAGGGAATACGTGACGTGTAATTGATTCCAACATCAATTTGCTGAGCTTTATCCGATTATCGTCGGTTCATGCCAGATTCCCGCATCGCCTTATCTTATAACGAAACCATCTCCCCTGAACCCCGGGTATGCTCCGCCTGTCAAATAATTACTTCCTGATCAGGGCGCCGTTCTATTGCTGGATTTGACCTAACACTGCGGCAAGGCCGGCAGCGTAAGTCTTCGGCCTGTCAGTCAGCCGTTCGGTAGCGCCTGCAACCTGTCTGCTGTCCTGCCCTTCGGCTGCACGCATCCTTTGATTCGTCGTCGCCAGCACCAACGTCGCCAGCCTGTCGTCGCCAGCACCAACGTCGCCAGCATTATGGTGTCCCTGGAAGCCGCTCACGCGATGCAGGAGGCCTTGCTGAAGAAATTCGCTGTGAGCATTGTCGCCAGCGTGTTGTCGCCAGCATATCGTCGCCAGCATATTGTCGCCAGCATATTGTCGCCAGAGTATTGTCGCCAGCGTATTGTTGCCAGCATATCGTCGCCAGCATATCGTCGCCAGCATATTGTCGCCAGCATATTGGCGCCAGCATTGTCGCCACGTCGCCAGCATTAGGTGTCCCTAGAAGCTGCGCTTTCCATGCAGGACGCTATCCTGGAAACGATTCACTGTAGCATTGTCGCCAGCATTGTCGCCAGCATTGTCGCCAGCATCGTCGCCAGAATTTTCGCTAGCGTTGTCGCCAGCATCATGGTGTCGCTAGAGGCGCTCATGCGATGCAGGAAGGTCTGCTAAAACGGTTTACGGTTTGCACTCTCTGTTTCTCATCTCATCTCTCTGTTTCTCGTCTCATCTCTCTGTTTCTCGTCTCGTCTCTCTGTTTCTCGTCTCGTCTCTCTGTTTCTCGTCTCGTCTCTCTGTTTCTCGTCTCTGTTTCTCATCTCGTCTCTCTGTTTCTCATCTCACCTCTCTGTTTTGGACCGATCAGAAAGCCCTTTTGGAAGCAGAGGTCATCAAGGCACGGGGGAACGAGGAGTACAAGCGGGGTGACTATAACGCAGCTCTGGATAGCTACAGTAACGCGCTGGCAGCAGCGCCAGGGGTCGAGCACGAGGAGGCAAAGGAGGCTCGAGCGATCTATCATGCCAACAGAGCCATGTGCCACCTGCAGCTGGTGAGAGAGACACCTGCAACTGGTGATTACTGGAATCTTCAGCTGGTGGGTTGTTTCTTAGGCGCATCAGGAAAGTCGGCAGCAGCGCCTGGGGTGGAGCACGAGGAGGCGAAGGAGGCCCGATCAATCTACCATGCGAACAGAGCCATGTGCCACCTGCAGCTGGTGAGAGTGAGAGTGGTGCAGCTGGTGAGAGCGAGTGTTGCAGGTGGTGAGAGAGAGAGAGAGAGTTGTAGTTGTTGTTTTAGGCGTCTGAGAAAAACTTGCAGCAGCGCCTTTTTTAGAATCAAAAGCTCGCAGCGCATGTCATTGTGGAATCTTAGCCTCGCTGTGCTTTGCCGCCGTTAAGTGCATGCCAAGCCTCATTTCGCTTTGGATTGACTTTAACGCAACAAATCGATAAAGTCAAACGCGTGGCGACGTTATGATTCTGATGGTGGCATTCGCATGCTTCCGCCTTGTGGGTCTTGTGATGCACCCCGCCCGACCTTTTTCAAGATCAGTGTGCTGTGGGAACATCGATTGTGATGCACTCAAACTGTGAAGATTTAGCTCGTTACTCAACCTCGCACGCACGACCTGCGACAAGTACGTTCCGCATCAACCTCATTCGCATCGCTGTTCTCCACCCACCCATGCCATGCAGAAGAACTACGAAAGCCAAAGCCATGGATATGAAGTGAGATGTGAAGCCACTTTTTCTACACTCTCTGTTCCACTCCGTTGCTGTCTGCAGAAGGATTACGACGCATGTGTGAAGGAGAGCACAGCAGCCATGGATCTGAAGCCGGACTATCTCAAGGCGATCATGCGGCAGGCCCAGGCGTGGGAGAAGCTGGACAAGCTGGAAGAAGCACTGGGAGGTGTGTTGGTTCTTTATCGACACCCGTTCGACTATACTAAGTTCTTATAAGTTCGTCTGCGCAAATAGATCTGGTACCTCTTTCTGCCGTCCATATTACCCAGATTTGAGGCTTAGGGTTGGACAGCGTGCTTCAGTTGGACAGCGCCAATGCTCAAGCCGGATCTGCTGCTAGGCGACTGGAGCTTGGTTTTGAGTCTTCGCATGGTTTGTCATGCTTGCCTGCCTCCTCTTTCGTTTGCCATCCCAGATTTGAAGAAGGTGCTTGGGCTGGACAGCACTAACGTTCAAGCCAGATCTGCTGCTAGGGGACTAGAGCTTGGTTTTGAGTCTTCTCATAGTTGGTCATGCATTGTCTGTCCCCTCTGTCCTTTGCCATCCCAGATTTGAAGAAGGTGCTTGAGCTGGACAGCACCAATGCTCAAGCCAGATCTGCTGCTAGGGGACTAGAGCTTGGTTTTGAGTCTTCTCATAGTTGGTCATGCATTGCCTGTCCCCTCTGTCCTTTGCCATCCCAGATTTGAAGAAGGTGCTTGAGCTGGACAGCACCAATGCTCAAGCCAGATCTGCTGCTAGGGGACTAGAGCTTGGTTTTGAGTCTTCTCATAGTTGGTCATGCATTGCCTGTCCCCTCTGTCCTTTGCCATCCCAGATTTGAAGAAGGTGCTTGAGCTGGACAGCACCAATGCTCAAGCCAGATCTGCTGCTAGGGGACTAGAGCTTGGTTTTGAGTCTTCTCATAGTTGGTCATGCATTGCCTGTCCCCTCTGTCCTTTGCCATCCCAGATTTGAAGAAGGTGCTTGAGCTGGACAGCACCAATGCTCAAGCCAGATCTGCTGCTAGGCGACTGGAGCCCATCGTGGAGGAAAGGAGGGAAAAGCTTAAAGAGGAGATGCTAGGTATGCCTTTTCCTCTGTTGCTGTAGGGTCCTACAAAAAAACGTACATTGCTTGTTTATTGTGTCTACTGCAGGTTTCCATATTCTAATGTCGTTGTGTGGGTTGTGTGATGTAGGCAAGTTGAAGGACCTTGGGAACTCCGTTCAGGGGCACTTTGGAATAAGCATTGACAATTTCAAGGCGGTGAAGGATCCAAACACTGGCTCCTACTCCATTTCGTACCAGAGCTAGAACGTCTCCAATAGTGTAGCTATTACCATAGACTATATCCTTTCAAGCAAAAGCCGGTGTACCCGATAACGGATAGGAGGGAATACGTGACGTGTAATTGATTCCAACATCAATTTGCTGAGCTTTATCCGATTATCGTCGGTTCATGCCAGATTCCCGCATCGCCTTATCTTATAACGAAACCATCTCCCCTGAACCCCGGGTATGCTCCGCCTGTCAAATAATTACTTCCTGATCAGGGCGCCGTTCTATTGCTGGATTTGACCTAACACTGCGGCAAGGCCGGCAGCGTAAGTCTTCGGCCTGTCAGTCAGCCGTTCGGTAGCGCCTGCAACCTGTCTGCCGTCCTGCCCTTCGGCTGCACGCATCCTTTGATTCGTCGTCGCCAGCACCAACGTCGCTAGCCTGTCATCGCCAGCACCAACGTCGCCAGCATTATGGTGTCCCTGGAAGCCGCTCACGCGATGCAGGAGGCCTTGCTGAAGAAATTCGCTGTGAGCATTGTCGCCAGCGTGTTGTCGCCAGCATATCGTCGCCAGCATATTGTCGCCAGCATATTGTCGCCAGAGTATTGTCGCCAGCGTATTGTTGCCAGCATATCGTCGCCAGCATATCGTCGCCAGCATATTGTCGCCAGCATATTGGCGCCAGCATTGTCGCCACGTCGCCAGCATTAGGTGTCCCTAGAAGCTGCGCTTTCCATGCAGGACGCTATCCTGGAAACGATTCACTGTAGCATTGTCGCCAGCATTGTCGCCAGCATCGTCGCCAGAATTTTCGCTAGCGTTGTCGCCAGCATCATGGTGTCGCTAGAGGCGCTCATGCGATGCAGGAAGGTCTGCTAAAACGGTTTACGGTTTGCACTCTCTGTTTCTCATCTCATCTCTCTGTTTCTCGTCTCATCTCTCTGTTTCTCGTCTCGTCTCTCTGTTTCTCGTCTCGTCTCTCTGTTTCTCGTCTCGTCTCTCTGTTTCTCGTCTCTGTTTCTCATCTCGTCTCTCTGTTTCTCATCTCACCTCTCTGTTTTGGACCGATCAGAAAGCCCTTTTGGAAGCAGCGGTCATCAAGGCACGGGGGAACGAGGAGTACAAGCGGGGTGACTATAACGCAGCTCTGGAGAGCTACAGTAACGCGCTGGCAGCAGCGCCAGGGGTCGAGCACGAGGAGGGAAAGGAGGCTCGAGCGATCTATCATACCAACAGAGCCATGTGCCACCTGCAGCTGGTGAGAGAGACACCTGCAACTGGTGATTACTGGAATCTTCAGCTGGTGGGTTGTTTCTTAGGCGCATCAGGAAAGTCGGCAGCAGCGCCTGGGGCGGAGCACGAGGAGGCGAAGGAGGCCCGATCAATCTACCATGCGAACAGAGCCATGTGCCACCTGCAGCTGGTGAGAGTGAGAGTGGTGCAGCTGGTGAGAGCGAGTGTTGCAGGTGGTGAGAGAGAGAGAGAGAGTTGTAGTTGTTGTTTTAGGCGTCTGAGAAAAACTTGCAGCAGCGCCTTTTTTAGAATCAAAAGCTCGCAGCGCATGTCATTGTGGAATCTTAGCCTCGCTGTGCTTTGCCGCCGTTAAGTGCATGCCAAGCCTCATTTCGCTTTGGATTGACTTTAACGCAACAAATCGATAAAGTCAAACGCGTGGCGACGTTATGATTCTGATGGTGGCATTCGCATGCTTCCGCCTTGTGGGTCTTGTGATGCACCCCGCCCGACCTTTCTCAAGATCAGTGTGCTGTGGGAACATCGATTGTGACGCACTCAAACTGTGAAGATTTAGCTCGTTACTCAACCTCGCACGCACGACCTGCGACAAGTACGTTCCGCATCAACCTCATTCGCATCGCTGTTCTCCACCCACCCATGCCATGCAGAAGAACTACGAAAGCCAAAGCCATGGATATGAAGTGAGATGTGAAGCCACTTTTTCTACACTCTCTGTTCCACTCCGTTGCTGTCTGCAGAAGGATTACGACGCATGTGTGAAGGAGAGCACAGCAGCCATGGATCTGAAGCCGGACTATCTCAAGGCGATCATGCGGCGGGCCCAGGCGTGGGAGAAGCTGGACAAGCTGGAAGAAGCACTGGGAGGTGTGTTGGTTCTTTATCGACACCCGTTCGACTATACTAAGTTCTTATAAGTTCGTCTGCGCAAATAGATCTGGTACCTCTTTCTGCCGTCCATATTACCCAGATTTGAGGCTTAGGGTTGGACAGCGTGCTTCAGTTGGACAGCGCCAATGCTCAAGCCGGATCTGCTGCTAGGCGACTGGAGCTTGGTTTTGAGTCTTCGCATGGTTTGTCATGCTTGCCTGCCTCCTCTTTCGTTTGCCATCCCAGATTTGAAGAAGGTGCTTGGGCTGGACAGCACTAACGTTCAAGCCAGATCTGCTGCTAGGGGACTAGAGCTTGGTTTTGAGTCTTCTCATAGTTGGTCATGCATTGTCTGTCCCCTCTGTCCTTTGCCATCCCAGATTTGAAGAAGGTGCTTGAGCTGGACAGCACCAATGCTCAAGCCAGATCTGCTGCTAGGGGACTAGAGCTTGGTTTTGAGTCTTCTCATAGTTGGTCATGCATTGCCTGTCCCCTCTGTCCTTTGCCATCCCAGATTTGAAGAAGGTGCTTGAGCTGGACAGCACCAATGCTCAAGCCAGATCTGCTGCTAGGGGACTAGAGCTTGGTTTTGAGTCTTCTCATAGTTGGTCATGCATTGCCTGTCCCCTCTGTCCTTTGCCATCCCAGATTTGAAGAAGGTGCTTGAGCTGGACAGCACCAATGCTCAAGCCAGATCTGCTGCTAGGGGACTAGAGCTTGGTTTTGAGTCTTCTCATAGTTGGTCATGCATTGCCTGTCCCCTCTGTCCTTTGCCATCCCAGATTTGAAGAAGGTGCTTGAGCTGGACAGCACCAATGCTCAAGCCAGATCTGCTGCTAGGGGACTAGAGCTTGGTTTTGAGTCTTCTCATAGTTGGTCATGCATTGCCTGTCCCCTCTGTCCTTTGCCATCCCAGATTTGAAGAAGGTGCTTGAGCTGGACAGCACCAATGCTCAAGCCAGATCTGCTGCTAGGGGACTAGAGCTTGGTTTTGAGTCTTCTCATAGTTGGTCATGCATTGCCTGTCCCCTCTGTCCTTTGCCATCCCAGATTTGAAGAAGGTGCTTGAGCTGGACAGCACCAATGCTCAAGCCAGATCTGCTGCTAGGGGACTAGAGCTTGGTTTTGAGTCTTCTCATAGTTGGTCATGCATTGCCTGTCCCCTCTGTCCTTTGCCATCCCAGATTTGAAGAAGGTGCTTGAGCTGGACAGCACCAATGCTCAAGCCAGATCTGCTGCTAGGGGACTAGAGCTTGGTTTTGAGTCTTCTCATAGTTGGTCATGCATTGCCTGTCCCCTCTGTCCTTTGCCATCCCAGATTTGAAGAAGGTGCTTGAGCTGGACAGCACCAATGCTCAAGCCAGATCTGGTGCTAGGCGACTGGAGCCCATCGTGGAGGAAAGGAGGGAAAAGCTTAAAGAGGAGATGCTAGGTATGCCTTTTCCTCTGTTGCTGTAGGGTCCTACAAAAAAACGTACATTGCTTGTTTATTGTGTCTACTGCAGGTTTCCATATTCTAATGTCGTTGTGTGGGTTGTGTGATGTAGGCAAGTTGAAGGACCTTGGGAACTCCGTTCTGGGGCACTTTGGAATGAGCATTGACAATTTCAAGGCGGTGAAGGATCCAAACACTGGCTCCTACTCCATTTCGTACCAGAGCTAGAACGTCTCCAATAGTGTAGCTATTACCATAGACTATATCCTTTCAAGCAAAAGCCGGTGTACCCGATAACGGATAGGAGGGAATACGTGACGTGTAATTGATTCCAACATCAATTTGCTGAGCTTTATCCGATTATCGTCGGTTCATGCCAGATTCCCGCATCGCCTTATCTTATAACGAAACCATCTCCCCTGAACCCCGGGTATGCTCCGCCTGTCAAATAATTACTTCCTGATCAGGGCGCCGTTCTATTGCTGGATTTGACCTAACACTGCGGCAAGGCCGGCAGCGTAAGTCTTCGGCCTGTCAGTCAGCCGTTCGGTAGCGCCTGCAACCTGTCTGCCGTCCTGCCCTTCGGCTGCACGCATCCTTTGATTCGTCGTCGCCAGCACCAACGTCGCTAGCCTGTCATCGCCAGCACCAACGTCGCCAGCATTATGGTGTCCCTGGAAGCCGCTCACGCGATGCAGGAGGCCTTGCTGAAGAAATTCGCTGTGAGCATTGTCGCCAGCGTGTTGTCGCCAGCATATCGTCGCCAGCATATTGTCGCCAGCATATTGTCGCCAGAGTATTGTCGCCAGCGTATTGTTGCCAGCATATCGTCGCCAGCATATCGTCGCCAGCATATTGTCGCCAGCATATTGGCGCCAGCATATTGGCGCCAGCATTGTCGCCACGTCGCCAGCATTAGGTGTCCCTAGAAGCTGCGCTTTCCATGCAGGACGCTATCCTGGAAACGATTCACTGTAGCATTGTCGCCAGCATTGTCGCCAGCATCGTCGCCAGAATTTTCGCTAGCGTTGTCGCCAGCATCATGGTGTCGCTAGAGGCGCTCATGCGATGCAGGAAGGTCTGCTAAAACGGTTTACGGTTTGCACTCTCTGTTTCTCATCTCATCTCTCTGTTTCTCGTCTCATCTCTCTGTTTCTCGTCTCGTCTCTCTGTTTCTCGTCTCGTCTCTCTGTTTCTCGTCTCGTCTCTCTGTTTCTCGTCTCTGTTTCTCATCTCGTCTCTCTGTTTCTCATCTCACCTCTCTGTTTTGGACCGATCAGAAAGCCCTTTTGGAAGCAGCGGTCATCAAGGCACGGGGGAACGAGGAGTACAAGCGGGGTGACTATAACGCAGCTCTGGAGAGCTACAGTAACGCGCTGGCAGCAGCGCCAGGGGTCGAGCACGAGGAGGGAAAGGAGGCTCGAGCGATCTATCATACCAACAGAGCCATGTGCCACCTGCAGCTGGTGAGAGAGACACCTGCAACTGGTGATTACTGGAATCTTCAGCTGGTGGGTTGTTTCTTAGGCGCATCAGGAAAGTCGGCAGCAGCGCCTGGGGCGGAGCACGAGGAGGCGAAGGAGGCCCGATCAATCTACCATGCGAACAGAGCCATGTGCCACCTGCAGCTGGTGAGAGTGAGAGTGGTGCAGCTGGTGAGAGCGAGTGTTGCAGGTGGTGAGAGAGAGAGAGAGAGTTGTAGTTGTTGTTTTAGGCGTCTGAGAAAAACTTGCAGCAGCGCCTTTTTTAGAATCAAAAGCTCGCAGCGCATGTCATTGTGGAATCTTAGCCTCGCTGTGCTTTGCCGCCGTTAAGTGCATGCCAAGCCTCATTTCGCTTTGGATTGACTTTAACGCAACAAATCGATAAAGTCAAACGCGTGGCGACGTTATGATTCTGATGGTGGCATTCGCATGCTTCCGCCTTGTGGGTCTTGTGATGCACCCCGCCCGACCTTTCTCAAGATCAGTGTGCTGTGGGAACATCGATTGTGACGCACTCAAACTGTGAAGATTTAGCTCGTTACTCAACCTCGCACGCACGACCTGCGACAAGTACGTTCCGCATCAACCTCATTCGCATCGCTGTTCTCCACCCACCCATGCCATGCAGAAGAACTACGAAAGCCAAAGCCATGGATATGAAGTGAGATGTGAAGCCACTTTTTCTACACTCTCTGTTCCACTCCGTTGCTGTCTGCAGAAGGATTACGACGCATGTGTGAAGGAGAGCACAGCAGCCATGGATCTGAAGCCGGACTATCTCAAGGCGATCATGCGGCGGGCCCAGGCGTGGGAGAAGCTGGACAAGCTGGAAGAAGCACTGGGAGGTGTGTTGGTTCTTTATCGACACCCGTTCGACTATACTAAGTTCTTATACGTTCGTCTGCGCAAATAGATCTGGTACCTCTTTCTGCCGTCCATATTACCCAGATTTGAGGCTTAGGGTTGGACAGCGTGCTTCAGTTGGACAGCGCCAATGCTCAAGCCGGATCTGCTGCTAGGCGACTGGAGCTTGGTTTTGAGTCTTCGCATGGTTTGTCATGCTTGCCTGCCTCCTCTTTCGTTTGCCATCCCAGATTTGAAGAAGGTGCTTGGGCTGGACAGCACTAACGTTCAAGCCAGATCTGCTGCTAGGGGACTAGAGCTTGGTTTTGAGTCTTCTCATAGTTGGTCATGCATTGCCTGTCCCCTCTGTCCTTTGCCATCCCAGATTTGAAGAAGGTGCTTGAGCTGGACAGCACCAATGCTCAAGCCAGATCTGCTGCTAGGGGACTAGAGCTTGGTTTTGAGTCTTCTCATAGTTGGTCATGCATTGCCTGTCCCCTCTGTCCTTTGCCATCCCAGATTTGAAGAAGGTGCTTGAGCTGGACAGCACCAATGCTCAAGCCAGATCTGCTGCTAGGGGACTAGAGCTTGGTTTTGAGTCTTCTCATAGTTGGTCATGCATTGCCTGTCCCCTCTGTCCTTTGCCATCCCAGATTTGAAGAAGGTGCTTGAGCTGGACAGCACCAATGCTCAAGCCAGATCTGCTGCTAGGGGACTAGAGCTTGGTTTTGAGTCTTCTCATAGTTGGTCATGCATTGCCTGTCCCCTCTGTCCTTTGCCATCCCAGATTTGAAGAAGGTGCTTGAGCTGGACAGCACCAATGCTCAAGCCAGATCTGCTGCTAGGGGACTAGAGCTTGGTTTTGAGTCTTCTCATAGTTGGTCATGCATTGCCTGTCCCCTCTGTCCTTTGCCATCCCAGATTTGAAGAAGGTGCTTGAGCTGGACAGCACCAATGCTCAAGCCAGATCTGCTGCTAGGGGACTAGAGCTTGGTTTTGAGTCTTCTCATAGTTGGTCATGCATTGCCTGTCCCCTCTGTCCTTTGCCATCCCAGATTTGAAGAAGGTGCTTGAGCTGGACAGCACCAATGCTCAAGCCAGATCTGCTGCTAGGGGACTAGAGCTTGGTTTTGAGTCTTCTCATAGTTGGTCATGCATTGCCTGTCCCCTCTGTCCTTTGCCATCCCAGATTTGAAGAAGGTGCTTGAGCTGGACAGCACCAATGCTCAAGCCAGATCTGCTGCTAGGGGACTAGAGCTTGGTTTTGAGTCTTCTCATAGTTGGTCATGCATTGCCTGTCCCCTCTGTCCTTTGCCATCCCAGATTTGAAGAAGGTGCTTGAGCTGGACAGCACCAATGCTCAAGCCAGATCTGGTGCTAGGCGACTGGAGCCCATCGTGGAGGAAAGGAGGGAAAAGCTTAAAGAGGAGATGCTAGGTATGCCTTTTCCTCTGTTGCTGTAGGGTCCTACAAAAAAACGTACATTGCTTGTTTATTGTGTCTACTGCAGGTTTCCATATTCTAATGTCGTTGTGTGGGTTGTGTGATGTAGGCAAGTTGAAGGACCTTGGGAACTCCGTTCTGGGGCACTTTGGAATGAGCATTGACAATTTCAAGGCGGTGAAGGATCCAAACACTGGCTCCTACTCCATTTCGTACCAGAGCTAGAACGTCTCCAATAGTGTAGCTATTACCATAGACTATATCCTTTCAAGCAAAAGCCGGTGTACCCGATAACGGATAGGAGGGAATACGTGACGTGTAATTGATTCCAACATCAATTTGCTGAGCTTTATCCGATTATCGTCGGTTCATGCCAGATTCCCGCATCGCCTTATCTTATAACGAAACCATCTCCCCTGAACCCCGGGTATGCTCCGCCTGTCAAATAATTACTTCCTGATCAGGGCGCCGTTCTATTGCTGGATTTGACCTAACACTGCGGCAAGGCCGGCAGCGTAAGTCTTCGGCCTGTCAGTCAGCCGTTCGGTAGCGCCTGCAACCTGTCTGCCGTCCTGCCCTTCGGCTGCACGCATCCTTTGATTCGTCGTCGCCAGCACCAACGTCGCCAGCCTGTCATCGCCAGCACCAACGTCGCCAGCATTATGGTGTCCCTGGAAGCCGCTCACGCGATGCAGGAGGCCTTGCTGAAGAAATTCGCTGTGAGCATTGTCGCCAGCGTGTTGTCGCCAGCATATCGTCGCCAGCATATTGTCGCCAGCATATTGTCGCCAGAGTATTGTCGCCAGCGTATTGTTGCCAGCATATCGTCGCCAGCATATCGTCGCCAGCATATTGTCGCCAGCATATTGGCGCCAGCATTGTCGCCACGTCGCCAGCATTAGGTGTCCCTAGAAGCTGCGCTTTCCATGCAGGACGCTATCCTGGAAACGATTCACTGTAGCATTGTCGCCAGCATTGTCGCCAGCATCGTCGCCAGAATTTTCGCTAGCGTTGTCGCCAGCATCATGGTGTCGCTAGAGGCGCTCATGCGATGCAGGAAGGTCTGCTAAAACGGTTTACGGTTTGCACTCTCTGTTTCTCATCTCATCTCTCTGTTTCTCGTCTCATCTCTCTGTTTCTCGTCTCGTCTCTCTGTTTCTCGTCTCGTCTCTCTGTTTCTCGTCTCGTCTCTCTGTTTCTCGTCTCTGTTTCTCATCTCGTCTCTCTGTTTCTCATCTCACCTCTCTGTTTTGGACCGATCAGAAAGCCCTTTTGGAAGCAGCGGTCATCAAGGCACGGGGGAACGAGGAGTACAAGCGGGGTGACTATAACGCAGCTCTGGAGAGCTACAGTAACGCGCTGGCAGCAGCGCCAGGGGTCGAGCACGAGGAGGCAAAGGAGGCTCGAGCGATCTATCATGCCAACAGAGCCATGTGCCACCTGCAGCTGGTGAGAGAGACACCTGCAACTGGTGATTACTGGAATCTTCAGCTGGTGGGTTGTTTCTTAGGCGCATCAGGAAAGTCGGCAGCAGCGCCTGGGGCGGAGCACGAGGAGGCGAAGGAGGCCCGATCAATCTACCATGCGAACAGAGCCATGTGCCACCTGCAGCTGGTGAGAGTGAGAGTGGTGCAGCTGGTGAGAGCGAGTGTTGCAGGTGGTGAGAGAGAGAGAGAGAGAGTTGTAGTTGTTGTTTTAGGCGTCTGAGAAAAACTTGCAGCAGCGCCTTTTTTAGAATCAAAAGCTCGCAGCGCATGTCATTGTGGAATCTTAGCCTCGCTGTGCTTTGCCGCCGTTAAGTGCATGCCAAGCCTCATTTCGCTTTGGATTGACTTTAACGCAACAAATCGATAAAGTCAAACGCGTGGCGACGTTATGATTCTGATGGTGGCATTCGCATGCTTCCGCCTTGTGGGTCTTGTGATGCACCCCGCCCGACCTTTTTCAAGATCAGTGTGCTGTGGGAACATCGATTGTGACGCACTCAAACTGTGAAGATTTAGCTCGTTACTCAACCTCGCACGCACGACCTGCGACAAGTACGTTCCGCATCAACCTCATTCGCATCGCTGTTCTCCACCCACCCATGCCATGCAGAAGAACTACGAAAGCCAAAGCCATGGATATGAAGTGAGATGTGAAGCCACTTTTTCTACACTCTCTGTTCCACTCCGTTGCTGTCTGCAGAAGGATTACGACGCATGTGTGAAGGAGAGCACAGCAGCCATGGATCTGAAGCCGGACTATCTCAAGGCGATCATGCGGCGGGCCCAGGCGTGGGAGAAGCTGGACAAGCTGGAAGAAGCACTGGGGAGGTGTGTTGGTTCTTTATCGACACCCGTTCGACTATAACTAAGTTCTTATAAGTTCATCTGCGCAAATAGATCTGGTACCTCTTTCTGCCGTCCATATTACCCATATTTGAGGCTTAGGGTTGGACAGCGTGCTTCAGTTGGACAGCGCAAATGCTCAAGCCGGATCTGCTGCTAGGCGACTGGAGCTTGGTTTTGAGTCTTCGCCATGGTTTGTCATGCTTGCCTGCCTCCTCTTTCGTTTGCCCATCCCAGATTTGAAGAAGGTGCTTGGGCTGGACAGCACTAACGTTCAAGCCAGATCTGCTGCTAGGGGACTAGAGCTTGGGTTTTGAGTCTTCTCATAGTTGGTCATGCATTGCCTGTCCCCTCTGTTCCTTTGCCATCCCAGATTTGAAGAAGGTGCTTGAGCTGGACAGCACCAATGCTCAAGCCAGATCTGCTGCTAGGGGACTAGAGCTTGGTTTTGAGTCTTCTCATAGTTGGTCATGCATTGCCTGTCCCCTCTGTCCCTTTGCCATCCCAGATTTGAAGAAGGTGCTTGAGCTGGACAGCACCAATGCTCAAGCCAGATCTGCTGCTAGGGGACTAGAGCTTGGTTTTGAGTCTTCTCATAGTTGGTCATGCATTGGCCTGTCCCTCCTCTGTCCGTTTTGGCCAATCCCAGATTTGGACAAGACAATGGTGCGTTGAGGAATGCCTGGACAGCACCAATGCTCAAGCCAGATCTGCTGCTAGGGACTAGAGCTTGGTTTTGAGTCTTCTCATAGTTGGTCATGCATTGCCTGTCCCCTCTGTCCTTTGCCATCCCAGATTTGAAGAAGGTGCTTGAGCTGGACAGCACCAATGCTCAAGCCAGATCTGCTGCTAGGGGACTAGAGCTTGGTTTTGAGTCTTCTCATAGTTGGTCATGCATTGCCTGTCCCCTCTGTCCTTTGCCATCCCAGATTTGAAGAAGGTGCTTGAGCTGGACAGCACCAATGCTCAAGCCAGATCTGCTGCTAGGGACTAGAGCTTGGTTTTGAGTCTTCTCATAGTTGGTCATGCATTGCCTGTCCCCTCTGTCCTTTGCCATCCCAGATTTGAAAAGGTGCTTGAGCTGGACAGCACCAATGCTCAAGCCAGATCTGCTGCTAGGGGACTAGAGCTTGGTTTGAGTCTTCTCATAGTTGGTCATGCATTGCCTGTCCCTCTGTCCTTTGCCATCCCAGATTTGAAGAAGGTGCTTTGAGCTGGACAGCACCAATGCTCAAGCCAGATCTGCTG